TGAGGCGGCATGGAGAGCCACAGGGCAGTTCAGGGGGGCAGCGCCGCAGCCCCGGCTCCCAGCCGAGCTGAGCTGGAGAGGAAGGAGGGACTGCCTGCACAAAAAAGGGCTTCTTACTGCCAAGGGCTTGCTCGCTGTCAGCTGGCATCCGTTTTGGTGGTGCTACGCTGCTGTGCATCAGTCCTAGGTGGGGAGAAGCAAATAGGCTGTCTCTGGGTGCATCCTACCTCGGTCGGATGCCTGCCTCCGGTGTAGCAGCGAGAGAAGAGTCCTCAGCGGTCCCCCCTGTTGCAGGCAGGCTGGGGGAGGGCAGGCAGGGGTGCCTGGGCTGCCCCCATGGTCAGAGCCAGCCCAGCGGGGACATCAGGGCCATGGCAAGCGGCGATGCTATCATAGCGCAGTACAGTCTGGGGGCAGCATTAAGTTGTGACGCACTCGGATGGAAACATGCAGTTGGAAGGGAAATGCTTGGTCGCTGCTTGCTGTGCTGTGGGGCTGTGCTGGGAGGGACAGAGGGATTTGCTGTCCTGGGAGTGGTAGTTGGCTGGGCAAGGAATGTTTCAAAAGATATTGCTGCAGTTTACAATGTTGCTGAGCTGAAAGTGTGGGGCAGGAATGAGTAGCCATCCCCCTCTGCCTGCTATTGCTGCCTGCAGCAGGGTGGAAGTGACACATGGGACACTGTCCCAATGGCAAGCCCATCCTATGGGGAAAAAAGTCTGTCCCGAAGTCACTCTGCTCTGCGAGCACACAGGAGCCCCTCTGCAGTGGAGGGGAGGGGGAGACACGGGGTGTGCGCAGCAGGGTTGCTGCGTGCCAGGTGATGAGTTGTTCTTGAGCATGAATTGTGCGTGCTGGACAGGCAGCAGAGGTGCAGGCTGGGCTGCCAAGGTGAATTAGGGACCTAGCATAGATTTGGTTCCATCTGACATACAGCCCTGATCTGATTGTGCCATTTGTGTCCGTGCAGCTGGGGGGGTCTGGGTGCCTCAGAGACCTGGTAGAGCTTTGTGTCTGGGTGTAGAGAAAGATATTTTGCTAAAGAAAAGTTGGGGAAAGCCAGCAACTGAGCTCTCATATTGAAATGCTTCCAGGCATGGGGAGAGGGAGGATGCTTGGTGGCTGTGAAGTCTGTCTTGCAGAATGTTATGCAGCCGTGGCTGGTCACAGGGTTGGCAGGAGGAAGGGAAGCCTTGACCTGCATGGGGCATCTTTCAGCCCTGAGAGCTGAGCACTGTGTTGCTCTAGCACAGTAACCAGCAGACTGGAAGGAGGATGCGTCCATAACCGTTATGATCAATAAAAGAGGCACCCCAAAAAGGGTTAAAACCCTCTGCCGGATGCCTAAATTCCTGCCTTAACCCTCCTCTGTTACTTGGGTGCTGGGCTGTAGCCCTCTGCACAGTCTCATCTGTGCCAAAGCTGTGTCCAGGCCAGCTTGCTGCCTGGCTCCCCAGACCAGCATTGGATCTCCCCTCTGGCCTGCTCTGAGCTGGGGAGCTGAAGGTGGATGGATGTCTTCTTCCAGCCCTGCCTGTGTAGGGCAGTCCCCAGCAGGGCTGGCTCTAAGGCTGGGCTGGAGCAGCCCCCCAGTCGCTCCTGGAGACAATCAGTAGAGCAGGACTCAAGGCGTCCTCTCGGTCCCCTTTCAGGCGGCAGGGCACCAAAGAAAGATGTTGATTGAGTTAGAAATCCCGCTGGGACAGTATATTCCTAGGTCTCTTCGTCACTGTGCATGCAGAGGGCAGAGCTGGCTGGCTGGCCCAGCATGCTGCAGCGGTGAGCTCATAACGTAGCGATGACAAAAAACCCCAACTGCACTTGGGGTCAGCCACAGTGGCATGTGGCCAGTGCTCTGCTTTCTTTTGGGTAGTGCCTGCAAGTTCAGAGGTGCCGAGAGGTGCCATCCTTTCAGCCCAGGAGGAATGAATCCACAGAGCAAAGACAGCCTGGAGAGAGGGACCTGCGAAGCAATGAAACCCGTGTCTCTGGTCTCTGCTGCTGTGGTTGTGAGTTAGGCTTCAGGAGCCTGCACTGCCTGTGCTTCCCCAGCAGAAACGGTCTGTGCACCAAAGGGCTTGGAGTTTAGTGGACTGATGGGTGGTGGTACTGCCGTGGGACCAGAAAAGTGGGATGGGCTTTGTGGCTGGAGTGCATCTTCTCAGCTAGGACTTGGGCTGAGTCCACCAGCTTTGTTCGTGAGATCAGTGTTGGCTGGGGGTGGGGTTTAACCAAGCAGGGTCTCCTCAGGATTTAAGTGTAGATGCAAAGTTTTACATTGTCCTCTTTGTCTCCCCAGTCACCCTGTTTGCCTGAGCAGCCACTGCTCCCTATCTCTGAGGTGGGGGTACTTGGCAGCTCCTGCCCGCAGTGGGCTTGTGGGATGCTCTCGGGGCTTGCAGCAGGGTGGCCGGAGTCTTTTGAAGCCACAAGGCAGTTCAGCCTTTGAAGTATTTGTTGACAGTTCTAGAGCCCAGGTTTTTGTAGCATGGTGCTCTGCCGGGCTGTTCTCTGGCACTGTGCCATTCAGAATTACTCCTTGAGCATCTTCTCACATCAGCTCATTCACTCAGTGTTTAGCAGCAATCCTCCCGCAAGCCCTGCGGCAGGGCTGGAGGCCACAGTCCCCTCCAGTGCGGTGTCTCGCCCTGTCCTCCAAAATCTCTGCTTAGCTGGCTCTCATCTCCCTTCCTTGGAAACAGGGAGCTGACCCCTCTCTGTATTGCTGCTGAGCCGGGTGGAAGCCAAGCCTCGCGTTTCCTTCTGACCATTCTCTCCAAGGAGCTTTTCTGCGGTTTCCAGTCCCCACTTCTCTGTGCTGGTTTTTCAGTCTCCTTTTTGTGTCTGTTGGTCTCAGCATCTTTTGGCTGCATCCCTGGCAGTGAGTATGATCCCTTCCCTTCTCTTTCCCATGGCGACTCCTTATCGTCTACATTGCTCTCAGATGCCTGCTTCTCCCCCTGCTCTGCTCACAGCTTGTGTTCTGCAGGACTTTGGATTGTTTTTTCCCCCCCCAGGCTCTTCTCTAGGTCTCATTGCAACCCATGCTCCTGTGGCCGCCTCGCTGCTGGGGTGCTGGCAGTAACCCCTGCTCACAGCTCAGCATCCTGCCCCTCCTGGCTGGGGCTGCGCTGATGGGGCTGGGCTCTAATCTCCTCTCAGGCACTGAGGCTGTACCCCTCCGCGAGCCCCCTGTCTTCCCAGGAGACAACCGAACCCTGCTTTCCGCCTGCTAGATTGGGGTGATCCCTTTCCTCCTCTGAGAAACAAGCTGGTGCTGTGCCAGCATTTCCCCTCCAGGAAGTGTGTGAGGGGCGAGTCCCCTCTCCGTCCTGGCCGCTGTGCCTCTCTGAAGAGTGATGGATGTCCCTTCCCCAGACACCGCTGGGGCCTGTCTGCTGGCCGGCTTTCCCGGGCCCCTGCACGCCTCCAGTTGTACTTTCTCAGCCACCAGCAAGATCTCTCAGCAGCAGTCTCCATCCCAGTGATGGATGTTGACAGCTGCCTGAAGAGCCTGTGCAAGACTCGATTATCTTCCTCTGAAGATGATGCCTTCCAGATCTTGCTCTGAAGCCCTCTGTGAGCACTGTGTTGAAACCCTCTCCAGAGCCTCCCTGGCTGCAGAGCCGTGCTGAGTGCTTCTGGCTTGCACCCAGCTCAGACCGGACAAATGCTTGGGAGCAGGGCCCTGGAGCATCCTGCTGCAGGCAGGCTTAGCTTGTTCCTGGGCTGAGATGCAGACAGCAGGTCCTGCCTTGCTCAGCTCGGTGGTGTTTGGGTCCCCAGGAGGGGCCGGGTGCTTGGGGGTGCTGGGGACGGGTAGGGGAAGGCCACAGCCACCCCAAGCAGCAGCAGCCCAGCAGTAGGCAGACACCCATCCTGCCTTGACCAGCCACGAGGTCCTCATGAATGACAGCGTGCTGGCGTCCCTGCAAGTCCAGGGCTGGCCCCATGCTGAAGTCTCTCCTGAATCCCAGGCATGCTCCTGCAAGAGCATCACATCACTGCAGAGTGCTGGGTGCTGCCTTGAGACCATCTGTCAGCCCAGGGCAGGCAGCCGGCGGCAGGGAGGTTGCTGGCTGTGCGGTGTTGTGGCACAGAGCTGCTGGAGGCCTTGAAGCAGGCTGAGATCCTGCTGAGCAGGGTGCAGGCATGCACCATCAAAAGTCCAGCTTGAAGGCTTGCTCTCCTGGGGCCCAGGCCTCCTGAAGGCTGTTCCTTTGGCCAGCCTGGGACACCTTGGAGCAGGGAGAAACAGCTCTCCCAAGTGCTTGGAAATGTTGGATGCACCTTGCCATCATGCTGCTAATGCTGTGCCACTGTCACAGGCAGATAGAGAGGGAGAGGAGGAGAGGGGAGACAGCCAGGGCCATCCCCAGCACTGTGCCTGGGGTGTGCATGGGACAGCGGGTACTGTGGTGCCCAGGAGGAGGTCTCTGTAGCCCTGAAACAAGGACAGCTGGCTGGTCCAGCCAGGAGAGGGCTGGACCAAGATGAAGAGACTTGGGGTTGCCTTAACCCATGAGCCGCCCTCCATCCCCTAGAGCAGTCCCCTGACCCAGCACCACTCTCCTGCTGATCCCTGCTCTTCTCTCTGCAGGCGCTGTATGGCTCCATCAAGAACGAGAAGCTGCAATGGGCCATGTGAGTATCCCTCCCGGGGATGCTGCTGCCCAGCGCTGGGCAGGCAGCGGGGCCACCCTGCTGGTGCGGGGGGCTTCCTGCCCCCTTCTGCTCCCTGCTGGAGCATCACCCTGCCCCAGAGGTCACATCAGCCATGATGCTGCAGGGCACGTGCTCCTGCAAGAATACAGGAGGGAGAGGGAGCTTGGGATGGGCTTGGATGGGATGTGGGTGCAGCCAACGTACCCCTGGCTGCCCTCAGCACCTCGATAGGGATCCTGCCCTAGCGTGCGGGGGGAAGGCTGCCCGAGGTCAGCTCCCTGTGGCTTTGGCATTGCTTCGTGCCTTGGCGGCTGTGCCGGGGTGGGAGTGGGCAGGTTCTGGGGGGACTGTGGCTGTGCCGGGGCCCCGCAGGGTGCCTGCACCCTCGCCCACATCTGCCATCTCCAGCAGCAGGAGCGGCAGCGCCCTCGCTGCAGGGATTAATCAGCCAGTGCTGAGCCAATTGTGATCGGGCTGCTGCCATGGAGACGCCGGCAGATGCTGAGGGGTTTAATTAGCAGCGAGCGGGTCTGAGGGAGGGGGAAAGCAGCAGCTCTGGGCTCCCACATCTTCCTGCCAGGCGGGAGGAGCGGCACTGATGCAGCCTGCCTGCAGCATGAGGGGCCATGACCCAGAGGGACAGTGTGAGCAGGACCCTGCCACCTCCTGCTGCCGGGGCTGCCTGGCTCCTGCCCCAATGTGCTCCTGCCCCGGGCTGGTGCTGCCTGAGGCGTCCCCACTGCAGGCTCCCCACACGCCTTTGCTGGTGGCTCTGAGCCCCATAGTCTGGCTGCTGCCCTGAAGGAGTGGAGACAACAGCCTGGGTCTCTCTTTGAGGGGTTTCCCTTCTAGACCCTCTCTTCTGCCATCTGGGGACCTGTGAGCCCCTACACCATGGGCTGGGGGCTGTGGTGGTGCCAAACCCCAGGGTGCTGTTCCTCCATGGCCCCTGGCTTGTCAGCCTGGCTGGGAGCAGTTTCAGCCCTGTCCAAAAAGGCTTCTTGCTCCCTCGGGCAGGCAGGGCCCCCACCCTAAACCGTTGGCAGACAGCCCCATGGATTGTCTTTTGAGGGGACAGGCAGCACCACAGCTGCCTGGAGGGGCAGGGGCACAGAGGCATGTCTGGGTTTGGGATGCTCACCAGTGGTGATGGGAGACAGCTCAGCCTGGGCTGGTGGTCCTAGCTGCCCTTTCAGAAGCCAGACTTAAAAGTGGCACCAGCAAGTGGGAGGCTTGGTATTTGCTGTCACCAGCAAGGCAACAAACCCTTTACCCATCCAAATCTGTGCCTGGCAGAGATGAGGAGGAGCTGAGAAAATCCCTCTCAGAGCTGGCAGACCCCAACCCAAAGTCCCTCAAGCGCATCAGCAGCTGCAGTAACCCCTTTCTGGACTTCTCCCAAGACTCCAGCATTGCCACCTACAAGCACGGACTGTTAGTGCGCAAGATCCACGCTGACCCCGACTGCAAGAAAAGTAGGTGTCTGGGGAGCCCACGGAAGGGACTTGGGGTGAGAGGGCACCAGTGAGCTCCAGACACTCAACAGGGAGCAGGGCAGGAGCCACTATATGACATCAGATTGTAGCATCATACTAGCCTCCAGCACCAGCCCCCTTGTGCCCTGTCTGGCTGTGCTGGGCATAATTCAACCCCCAGGCTGGGGACCCTGAAAGCTTCTCCCTGCCTGTCTGCCCCTGCCATCAGGGCTGGGCAGAGGTCGAGATGGCAGCACTCATCACAGCCCTTGCCTGCAGTGCTGGGAAGGGGGCAGGCAGGGAGGTGGGGTGGGTTCCTCAGGGGATACACCCTTGCCACAGGATGGCGGGGATGAAGGAAGGTGCCCTGTGTTGCGGCAAACAAGCTGCACAGCAGGCTGCTGCTGGCTGGGTGCTGCCAAGCATGTTCACCATTTCCACCGTAAAATCCTCTCTAAGCCCTGGCTGTCTAATGCTGTCTTGATCTGATTAGATGCAGCCACCCTCCAAAGCCAGCATTACCTGGCGGGCAGCACCACCACATCCCCGAGCAGGGAGGCAGTGGTGAAGGCGAGCAGCAAGGTGGGCGGCAAGGCGGGGAGCACAGCGGCACTAGCCCCGGGAGGCAGCAGGCAGCCCCCCTGCCAGCAGCACCATCTGCCAGCCACGTGGCCAGTACGGGCCCAGGGGCGCCGGG